ACATTGAGTCAAAGTTCTTGCGGTTTGCTGCTGCTTGCGGAGGGGGCTTCTTGAGGGGGGGGGGGGGGGGGGGTAGTGTGAGGAATTTTCTCACCATTCCTTACCGCGACCGTCAACATCGCGTACAGCAGCAGCCGTTGTTCGCCCGTTGCAAACGGGGCTTCGCCAAATTCGCGTGCACATTTTACCAAACCATGCACCGCTGGCCTAGCCGAGTCTGCCTACGCTTCGGAACTAGCCCGAACCTCCATGCCAGCCTAGCACTAGCTAGCTCGCACGCACCGCGTAACTGTTGCATGTTTCGCACGTAAGTATTCGCTCATGTCTTCGCTCGTACTTTGTACTCGTTTGACACCTAGTGCAATCCTCGCCATCTTGTTCCATTGCACCGGTAACAACCGTTCACAAATGACGCACAACACTGTGCTTGCTACTACAGGACGCACTTCACATGATATCTACACAACACAACAGCACTACTTTCTTACAGACACCTCAAAAGTCACAAATGAATTCGCATGATCGATCGATACACAACGTTGTGCACCCATTTTCTGACGTACAAAGGATGCAGAGCAGCAGCAGCAGCAACACTGCTGCAGCAACCCCTTACTGGGTGAGACCATCCCACCCCCCACGACCTCATCTCCGCATGCAGCAGAGGAACGGCAGCAGCACCACGAACGCACCCGATATAACCGCCATTTTTTGCCAGGCCTTCAGCCACACACCCAGCAGCGCAGACAGCAGTGGCCCTGAAGCATACCCCGCAGTATACGCCAAATTAAACATCCCCACTGCAAGCGCCACGTCAGACGAGCCTTCCCCAGCTGCCGCCCGCTTGTCCAACGCCTGGATTATACACGGTAGGCTGGGGAACTCCACTAACGAGTACGCCACTCCTGTGAGAGCTATTAACGGGTATAAAACGTGCAGCTGGCATGACACCCCCGGGATGACCAGGAGAGGGAGCGTCGCGGCGAGTGTGGCGGCCCCGAGCGTGATTGTAGCGGGGGGACCCAGTTTCCGGATGAGGTAACCACCGAAGAGGAGAGAGAAGAGCGCGTAAGAAGCGCCGTTGATTCCCATGGAAATGCCGATCTCGGATGGGGAGTGGTCGCAGGTGTTATCTAGAAAGAACGAGACGGTGACCTCTAGGAGCCCGTTGGAGAGGGTTTGCAGGAAGGTGAGGGCGAGCAGGGTGGCAGAGGTGCCGTCTGTGAGCATCGTGGCGAAGAGACGGAGCGCTGACAGCCGTTGATTCGGGCGGTGTTGCTTGGGTTTGGTGGGATCGACGGCTGAGGGCTGCTGGGTGGAGTGGTGGGTTGTGGAGGGGTGAGGAGCGGTGTGTTTGTGCTTCTGCTTCTGGTGGTGCTGTAGCTGCTGCTCCTGCCACGCTTGGACTTTTGCTGATGGAGTGATTAGCTGCTGCTGGGGTGTCACCTGCTGCTGCTGCTGGTGCTGGCTCATTTGGTGTTGCTGTTGCGGTTGCTCCTCGTTTTGCTCTATCTGCTGCGTCTGTCCCGGGCCTCCCACGCCTAGAACCCCGATTTCCACATGCCCTCTTTCCAAGGATCCCATGGGAGATAGGGGCACGTCTGCCGCCGCTGACCTGGATGAGGACCGTGCTGACGTGGAGCGCGTGAGGGAGGAGCTTCTGGAAGGAATGGCGAAGATGGGCGCGCCTCGGTACACGACGGGCCGCTCCTGCTCTGACACCTGTAGCTGCCACGTCGGCAAGCTATCTGCCAATGGCGCTTCCGTAATACTACCCCCGCTTATAGTACCATTGTACTCGATATAAGCTTTTCCAGAACCGTCTTTCGCCTTCGCAGCAGCTACAGCAGAAGCTACACTTTCCACGTCAGCGACTTTATTGCGGCGCCGGCCGCCGCAGCAGCAGGGGAGGACGAAGAGCAGGAGGAACAACAGCGCGGCGTCAATCCCGAGGGAGAAGAGGAACGGGAGGGACGGCGAACCGAACTGGAACAGGAATGTCATTGTAACGGGGCCAGCGACTGAGCCCACCGCCGCCCACGCGAACAGCATCGCGACCGCGCCGAACAGCAGCTCGCGCCCTCCAAGCGCCGCCGCTGCGGTCTTTGGTGCTTCGGCGGCGGCGGCGGTGGCGGCGCCGGCTTTTCCCTGTTGGGATGATGCAGACGTGACGGATTCCGGTTTTTCCCCTGCGGTGGCGGGCGCAGCGGCTAGCGCGGGAACGAGGTCGGAGGGATGCGGGGAGAGTGCGCCATCTTCCCCCGGAAGCACCTGCGGAAGCTTCTGTGCGGAGGCGGCGGCGGAGGTGGGGGAGGCGTGCGGGGAGGCGCAAGCGGAGGCGGAAGCGGATGCGGAAGGGGAAGGAGAAGGGAGCGCAGAAGGGCTGTGCGCGTGTGTGGCGAATGAAAGCGCGCCGGCGCGCACAAGCTGCGTGCATATACCCTGTAGCATTAGCGCTCCGGCCAGCCACAGCGGCCCTGCGGGATACGCGAGCAGCACGAGTGTCGCGGCGTAGAGCAGCAAAGTGACCGTTAGCCCGCAAAACGTGGTGACGCAGGAGAGCAGCGGGCAGGCGGGCAGCGCAAAGAGAATGGCGGATGTGGACCGGCCCGCGAGGAGAAGTGTTGAGGACGTTTCGGGCAGGCGGAAAAGTTTGGCGAAGGACGGAAGGAGCGGCGCGATGGAGCTGACGTTGAATTGGTCGAAAAACATTGAGCCTTGGGAGAAGCGGAAGCGTGGGAGGGATGGAAGTAAGGGAGGAGGGAAAGGTGGGGGAGTGGGAGAGGGGAAACGATGAGGGGAAGGTGGGGGAGTGGGAGAGGGGAAGCGATGAGGGGAAGGTGGGGGAAAGCACGGGCGAGCAGGATGCGCGGCGCGATGGAGGTGATGTCGAATTTGTCGAAAACATGGAGCCTAGGGCGGGGGAAAAGGGGAGAGTGTAGGGGGGAAAAGCCTGGCGAGAGGGAAGGCGGAAGAGGGCAGTGGGGAAAGGGAGAGCGTGGCAGTGACGAAGGGGAAAATGGCTGGAAGAGGGGGAAGGTGCTGCAGCAGGGCGCATGGACGGGTCAGACGCGTTCAGATGAATTCTGGTGAGATACTTTGAGAAGTCTACGAAACGCGCAAGAGACACATGCGCTGAGTAGAAGATATTTGAGAGCACAGTAACAAGTATTGCGCCTGCTGGTGGTCGTGGAAGTACTAAGGGGTGTCCCAAACGTGGTACCTGCTAGTAGTCGAAGGAGGCACATGTCTTTACTCGACAGTCCCGCGTTTCTCACGCTCGAGCCGCTCATCGCAACTTCCGCTGCTGCTTCAGCGGGAATCACGGCGGTGGAGCCGTTATCCTTTTGTGAGACTCCATGACTCTCGCATCCCGCATTCGCGGCTGCTTCTCTGGCCGTAGATCCGCTAGCAGACTGAACGGATTCTCTTAGAGTCTCCGCCAATGTCATTTTACCCCAGCAGCCTTTTCACTAGGCAGACTAATCGCCGTTTACAAGTCGAGCAGACCCCCTCGACAGTCGATGACCAAAGCGGAACAACCAATGGGTAGTACGCTTCGCTTTCCTACAGAAAGTGCCTATTTTCTTCCCCGAAGGTTCTCTAAGCAATAAAAAGGCCAAAGTAGTAGGCCGCCCGATTGCTTGCCCTTTCCTGTCAAAGCGTGTCAGGTCGTTTCGAGCATTCCAATCTCCCTACCTAGCAAAGAGTATGAAGTGAAAAAAAAGAATGAGAATTCGACGGAGCTCAGGTTTCGCAGTCCCCCCCTGCTCGCTCTCTTCCAAGGAACAATGGCTTGCGCAACGAACCTCCGCTGCACTCCTCGATCGTCTAATCTCGCGCGGAATACACGAGGTCAAGAATTCCGCGAAATCTGATTCATGTGGTAGAATCTGCTCGTTTTTGAAAGAAAAGCACGTTCGACTAACACAGCTGCTCAAGAAGCAGTAGAGGCAGCAGCTATAATTGTTTTGCGCCTGGCGGAGGTGCGTTCCGCGTTCTAAATTCCTTCTCCGCTCGTCACGAGTCAAATGACGACGGCTCCAACAGCTATTGGCGAACATATGGGTGCAGAGCGGTACTAGCTGATAGCAGTTTGAAATAATCTGGACATTGCATGCCGTGTGCTGCGGGAGCTCGCATCCATCGTTGAATCGCGTTTTTCCAAGGCAGATCGACGGTGCATGTGCAAAACGACCGACGCGACTCGCAATTATTGAAGTGATAGGAACGCAGGCAAGGTCGTTCTGAAAAACCCCTGCTATAGAAGTGAGATCCTACTGCGTATTATGCAATGAGATCTCACCCAGTTGATCTCGAAGTATATAGCCACAGTTTCATCAAATATAGAAAAAAAACTATTAAATTGGTCATGAGGGTCAATGTAGAATGTACTGGTACCAGAAACAAAAATGAAGCTCATATTGATATTCATTCGAGTGCGTGAATATCCCGGAAACCCCGGCTCCTCAAGTATGCTTGCAGAACAGGGTGGTTTTCAATGTCGGCCAGGGGCACCCAGCTATCTTCAGTTGGTGTGCAGTCCTTTCAGCGAACGAGGAACTCGATCCTCTTGATGCCGGTAGGGAGTCGGATCCGATGGCTCAATATCTTCTCGGGCTCAACGATCGGCTCCGATGCAGGGCGGGTCATGTCAGAACATATAGCTTGTGCTTATTGTGTAGGCTATAGTGGGGTAGCCCATAAGGGGTACAACCCAATTAGGGTTAGTACTTGTACTCAGTTCATTCATAGTTCATTTCATTCTCGTTTCAATCTTCTCATGGTATCGAGCAGGTTCCCTCGTGGGAACTGTGCCTAGGGCCCACCAACTCGAAATATTTTTTCCTGCCCGGAGCGCGCGCACCCCGAGTCGCGCTCCCCCTTCCTAGCTGCGCCCCGGCCCCGTCGCCCTACCTGCGCCTCGGCCCCGTCGCCCTACCTGCGCCCCGGCCCCGTCGCCCTACCTGCGCCCCGACCCCGTCGCCCTACCTGCGACCCCGGCCCCGTCGCCCCCCCCTTGCGACCCCGGCCTCGTCGCCCTACTTGCGGCCCGGCCCCGGCCCCGTCGCCCTACCTGCGCACCGGCCCCGTCGCCCTACCGTCGACCCGGCCCCGTCGCCCTACCTACGATCCGGCCCCGGCCCCGTCGCCCTACCTGCGCACCGGCCCCGTCGCCCTACCGTCGACCCGGCCCCGTCGCCCTACCTACGACCCGGCCCCGGCCCCGTCGCCCTACCTAAGACCCGGCCCCGGCCCCTTAGCCCTACCTGCGCACCGGCCCCGTCGCCCTACCTTCGACCCGGCCCCCATTGCCCTACCTACGGCACGGCCCCGGCCCCGTCGCCCTACCTACGGCCCGGCCCCGGCCCCATCGCCCTACCTACGACCCGGCCCCGGCCCCATCGCCCTACCTACGGTCTGGCCCCGGCCCCGTCGCCTTACCTTCGACCCGGCCCCGCCGCCCTACCTACGGCCCCGCCCGCACGCCTCCGCAGCCGAGCCGCCCGAGCCGCCCGAGCCGCCCGAGCCGCCCGCGCCGCCCGAGCCGCCCGAGCCGCCCGAGCCGCCCGAGCCGCCTGAGCAGCTGAGGAGCCGAGCCGCTGGTGCCGCCGAGCTGCAGTTGCTGCCAAGCCGCCCGAACTGCCTCAACCGCCCTGTCTGGTGAGCGCAGCGCCTCTGTCACCGCACTGCCCCTGCTCTACAGTTAGCGCTGTTAGTCTACTGCTGTCATGGCTACCCCCAGTGTTCTCACTTTTGACGCTGAGGGTCGAGCCATTGACTTTGACGTCAGGGTAGATGACCTGCAGCTTTTCCTACAGTGCGATAGGGCAGACGGTCTCTCCCTCTTTGACCTCACCTCTGGTGCTTCCCCTGCCTCTGCTGCCGATGCCGACGCCACCGTTCGCTCACAGTGGGCCACTCGCGATGCTGCTGCACGTCTTGCTGTGCGTCGCCACCTTCCTACCACTGAGCGCGCGCACTTTAGTCAGTACAAGAGTGCTCGGACCTTGTACGACGCTGTAGTTGCACGCTACTCTTCCCTTGCCACTGCTGCACTGAGCCGCCTCATGCTACCGTACCTCTTCCCTGACCTTGCTGCCTTTCCCACAGTCGCTGACCTCATTACGCACCTCCGCACTAGTGACACTCGCTACCGCGCTGCGCTTCCTGCTGACTTCTGCGCCAAGAACCACCCCCCCCATGTACATCACTCTCTACTACTTAGTCACTCGCCTCCCTGACTCCCTTCACATAGTCAGGGACCACTTCCTCTCAGTCTGTCCCACCACTCTTGAGGAAATTAGAATGAGAATGAGGTGAACTATGAATGAACGAGTACAAAAATGAAACCCTAGTTGGGTTGTACCCCCTATGGGATACCCCACTATAGCCTACACAATAGCATAAGCTATAATGTTCTGACAACTCTCACTGTTGACCTCCTCGAGAAGTCCCTCCTAGCGGCCGAGAAGAGTATAGTCGCTGTAGGGGCCTCTCGTGGTGACCCGCGCACCCCCATCTTTGAGGGGTGTTCCCCCTCCCCCCTTCTGCCCTCCGTTGCCTCTGCTGCTGCGGCCGACCTCCTTGGTCTTGAGTCGGTCGATGCGGCGTCTACCCCTAGCGGGAAACGCCGCTCTGGCAAAGGCAAGGGGGGCAGGGGCGCTAGAGGAGCGAGCGGGGGCGGTGGAGGTGGAGGTGGAGGCGGCGGGGGGAGTGGGGGTGGTGGTGGGAGTGGAGGTGGGGGTGGAGGTGTCGGTGGCGGCAGTGGAGGCGGAGGCGGCGGCGGCAGTGGCGGTGGGAGCGGAGGTGGCGGAGGTGGTGGCGGTGGAGGAGGCGGCAGAGGCGGCGGTAGTAGCGGAGGCGGCGGAGGCGGCGGAGGCGGCGGGGGTGGCGATGGAGCTGGTCGCGGGTCTACGCAGAGGAGTAGCTCCGGTGGTGGTCCACGCCAGCAGCAGCAGCGCGGTCGTGAGACCCTGTCCCCTCAGCAGCTCCGTGAGTGGTACACTGCACGCCACCGGGGTGGGGGTTTTGGTCCGTGCACCTATGTCCTGCGCACCAGCGATCGTGCGGGTGAGCAGTGTGGGGGTGCGCACCCCACCCAGCGCTGCTTTGGCCGCTTGACGGACGCGTGGCGTCACCAGTTCCCGGAGGCCACTGAGATCCCTCGCTGGGGCGAGCTGTCTAGGGCGGGAGTTGCCATCTATGATCTTGATTTTGATGCTACCCTTTCTACCATGTATGCTGTGTCTATTAGTGATGAGGGTGACTGTTACCGGTGTTTCCCGCCTGATCCGGGCATTGAGACTGCTGCTCTAGGTACTGGTTAGGCTGCTGCCCTAGGTGCTTGCGACGCTGCTGCTCTAGGTGCTAGTGCGTCTACGCCCTCAGGTACTGGTGAGTGTGCGCTCTCAGGTACTACGTCGGCTTCGGCCTCCCTCACCTTCACCCTTGACTCTGGGGCTTCTCGCTCCTTCTTTCGGGACCGCACCACACTCACGCCACTTAGTTGGCCTGTTGCGGTGTCTCTGGCTGACCCCTTTGGGGGTCCTGTCATGTCTCACTTCTCCAATGTCCTCCCGTGTCCGGCGGCTCCCTCGGGCACCCTGTCTGGTCTCTACCTCCCCTCGTTCTCTACGAACCTGGTGAGTGATGCTGACCTACAGGATGGGGGAGTACACCAGTTCACTCCTGCGCGTCAGCGGGTGACGCACTACACAAAGGCTAGCACAGGCAGACATCTGGCAAGGTTTACCCGTCGGCCGGGGTCGAGCCTGTACAGACTGACCACTGCGTCTCCTCCGGTTGCTGCGTCTGGTAGGGTAGCTGCGTCGGGTCAGGTGCTAGCTGCAGCGTCCAGGTCTGGTCCTTTGTCTGCCCCCTGTTTGTCGTCTCCTGTCTCACGAGACTCTCCTCTGGCACCACCACCTTGGTCACCCCTCTCTACTTCGGCTCATAGGCATGGCCTCCTGTCCTTTTGTTTCTGGTCTCCCCCGGACCCTTCCTCCCCTTCCTCAGGGCCCTGGCCCTACATGTGTCCCTTGTGTCGAGGGGCGCCAGCGGGCTGCTCCTCACTCCTCCCAGTTTCCTCCGACAGAGGCCCCGTTGCAGACGCTTCACATGGACTTGTGGGGCCCAGCCCGCGTCCGTGGACAGGGTCACAAGCGCTACTTCCTGCTCGTTGTTGACGACTACTCGCGTTACACCGCAGTCTTCCCCTTGCGCAGCAAGGGTGATGTCGCTGAGGTGCTGATCAACTGGATCCGCGCAGCTCGTCTCCAGCTCAGGCAGAGCTTTGGTTCGGACTTTCTTGTTCTGCGTCTGCACTCGGACAGAGGCGGAGAGTTTTCTTCTGGCCTTCTGAGAGCCTACTGTCGCGCCAAGGAATCCATCAGACCTTCACACTTCCGGAATCCGCGTAGCAAAATGGGATTGCTGAGCGCCGCATTGG